AGCACAGATTTTAATAAACTCTACATTAYAACTGGTTAACTTTTGGAGTCAGTGCTCAGGGCCCAGACCCACCTGGGTGAAAGTAGAACGTGCCGGGGTCTAATCCTTGGGTTTGTCCGTATTTATTCAGCAGGACCCATTTATCTCAGAGAGCCGCTCCTTGACGTTCCAGCACAAACTGTACCGCTTYACCACGGCTGCATGCTCCTGTTGCCCCTCCGCTGTCACAATAAGCCTCTCTCTTTAGAGTGCGTGGTACGGTAAATGTTTGAATTATGACTCAAACTCATTTATCACAGACACACACTCCACACTACTTCATTTTGTTGTTTTTGTGTGTCGCTGTTTGCTCACAGACATAAAGAAAAAAAACTGTCTATGTTAATGTTGCAGAGCTTGTTGATGTTCTTCTGAGGACAGCTGGGTGATGTTTGATCAGACGCTGATTTAGTGGAGACGTGTTCTGTAAACATTCACTTTTCATTGCGCCTAAACCTTATTTTCTACAAGTGTGAATGCTGAGTCATCATTATTTTTGTTGTCTTGAATTCAAACATCAGCATTTCATAAAAGGTGTGTTCAGCTGAAGATATCACCCTCCATCTTTAATGCTGGTTTACACCAAGATCATCTTGTGTTTAGAAATAGTAATGTTGTTCATTTTGCTGTTGTGACTCTCAGTTACGACCACATCAAAAATTAGTTTAATATCTGTTATATTTATGATGTTAATGATGATTAACCCTGGCGACCACCTAGAACTGGACTGAATCTAGAAGTTCATCAGTCAACAGGTTACATAAAGGGGTCAACCTCAGTCAACAGGTCACATGGAGGAACCATCCATTCAACAGGTCATATGGAKGGGCCAGCCTAAGTCAACAGGTCTGATAGAGAGGCCAGCCTCAGTCAATAGGCCACATGGAGGGGCCAGCCTCAGTAAACAGGTCACATGGAGGGGCCATCCTCAGTCAACAGGTCACATGGAGGGGCCAACCACAGTAAACAGCTCAGATGGAGGAGCCAACTTCAGTCAACAGGTCACATGGAGGGGCCATCCTCAGTCAAAAGGTCAAATGGAGGGGCCAACCACAGTAAACAGCTCAGATGGAGGAGCCAACTTCAGTCAACAGGTCACATGGAGGGGCCATCCTCAGTCAAAAGGTCAAATGGAGGGGCCATCCTCAGTCAACAGGTCACATGGAGGGGCCATCCTCAGTCAAAAGGTCAAATGGAGGGGCCATCCTCAGTCAACAGGTCACATGCAGGGGCCATCCTCAGTCAACAGGTCACATGGAGGGGCCATCCTCAGTCAACAGGTCACATGGAGGGGTTAACTTCAGTCAACAGGTCACATGGAGGGGCCATCCTCAGTCAACAGGTCACATGGAGGGGCCAGCCTCAGTCAACAGGTCACATGGAGGGGCCAACCTCAGTCAACAGGTCACATGGAGGGGCCAACCTCAGTCAACAGGTCACATGGAGGGGCCATCTTCAGTCAACAGGTCACATGGAGAGGCCAGCCTTAGTCAACAGGTCACATGGAGGGGCCAACCTCAGTGAACAGGTCACATGGAGGGGCCAGCCTCAGTCAACAGGTCACATGGAGGGGCCATCTTCAGTCAACAGGTCACATGGAGAGGCCAGCCTTAGTCCACAGGTCACATGGAGGGGCCAACCTCAGTCAACAGGTCACATGGAAGGGCCAGCCTCAGTGAACAGGTCACATGGAGGGTCCAGCCTCAGTCAAAAGTTCAGATAGAGGGGCCAGCCACAGTAAACAGGTCATATGGAGGGGCCAGCCACAGTAAACAGGTCATATGGAGGGGCCAACCACAGTAAACAGGTCACATGGAGGGGCCAACCTCAGTCAACAGGTCAC